GCAGAGCGGTGGAGTGGGGTGGTGGGTTGTGAAGTGGAGGACTGGACGGAGTCGGGAGAGCAGGAGGAGGGCCTTCGAGGGGCCCTGGAGGCGGGTACCAAGATGGAAGTTAGGGAAGGGGGCTGAGGGCTGAGAAAGGGATATGGAAGAGGGCGATGGGAATGGTGAGGGGGGCCTGGGAGACGACGGGGCGCCTGTGGGGGTCGGGGAAGAGTTGGGGAGCGGATTGCCGATGCGATCGCCTCCCCTCCCCAGGTGCTGCGGCACTGATGCTGCTGCTCCCTGCCACCATGTTCCACCTGCTCCTGGTGGCTCGCTCGGGCCCGGCGCGCCTCCTGGGCCCACCCCCCTACCTGCCGGAACCTAAGGCTCTGTGGAGCCCGCGGGCGCTGCTGCTGTGGCTCACCTGGCTTGGCCTGCAGGTGGCGCTCTACCTACTGCCGGCGCGCAAGGTGTGGACTCCGCTCGCGGAGGAGGTGGGCGGAAGGAGGGGCTTGGCAAGGAGAAAGACACCCTCAACCCTTATCAGAGACCCTTTGTGCCCGCAGGTGGCCGAGGGCCAGGAATTGAAGGACAAGAGTCGCCTGTGCTACCCCATTAACGGTGCCTGGGGACTGGGTCCTTGAGCTGGAATTGCGCGGATGGGGTGGAGCTACACGCTTAGTGGGATTAGCCCCCGACCCCGAGCTCCGGAGCTCGGTTCTGTGTCTCTTTGTCCAGGACAGACCTGGGGACTTTTACTCGCCCCCTCCACACCCCTGTCTCTCCACCCCTACGTGCAGTATTTGCTGCTACTCTATGTACCAGAGCAGTGGCTGGGGTGAGGGTGACCTGAAAGCCAAGGTATCAGCCTAATGGCTAGGGGCCAGGTCTGTGACCTCCCTGGGCTTTGAGGCTGTGTGTGTGTGTGCGTGCGCGCGCGCGTGTATATGGGCGGGGCGTCGCGGAGGTGGAGGGGCGTAGTTCCCATCACTCACTATGTGCTATGGTTCAGGCTTCCAGGCCCTGGTGCTGACAGCCTTGTTGGTGGGCCTGGGGGTGTCGGCCGGGCTGCCCCTGGGAGCGCTCCCGGAAATGCTCCTGCCCTTGGCGTTTATGGCCACCCTCACCGCCTTCATCTTCAGCCTCCTTCTCTATCTGAAGGCTCTAATAGCCCCTGCCTCCGCCCTGGCACCTGGGGGTAACTCAGGTGAGAGGGGTCCCAGTAGGGTGTGGATGGAGGCAGATGAGGGTGCTTGCTTGCTTCCACCTTCACCCTCCATTATTCTCCAGGCAATCCCATTTACGACTTTTTCCTGGGACGGGAGCTCAACCCTCGTATCTGTTCCTTTGACTTCAAATATTTCTGCGAACTGCGGCCTGGCCTCATCGGCTGGGTATGCTGGGCATGGCTGAGTGGGCCTGGGGCCAGGAGGAGGGGTGGGATGGGTGAGCAGTGCTTGGGGCAAGGCAGGGCCAGTATTGCACAGACATAAATCATTAATCATTCCTTCATTCCACAAATATTTATTGAGTCCACCATTTGCCCTAGACACTGCTCTAGGTACTGGGAGACAAGAAAAAAAAAGTTACAGAAAAGAAAAAGAAATTTGTCCTCATGGAGCCTACATTCTAGTGGGAAAGACAGAAAAAGTAAATACATACATCATGTCAGGGAATGCCGAGTGCTATGGAGTAAAGCAAAGCTGGGAAGCAGTTAGGAGAGCAGGTGCAATTTTAAATAAAGCAGTCAAGCACCATGTCTATTTCTAGGAGAAGAGATCCTATGCTGCTTGCTAGTCAAAGCTGAGCAGCACTTAGAACTGATCACTGGGTTTAGAAATCTGTCCACACTGGTGTCCTTGACTGACATGCCAACTGTGTTTTTTGGTTATAATTACTTGTGCCGCACTGTGATCAGGACTTTCCAAAGGGTCTCAGGCAGGGTCCTTCCTTCATGTCACCCTGGAAACCTCATCCAGAGGCGGGAAGAATACCAAGTGCCCACCATCTAGATCCCGGCCTCCAAGGTTATGTCCTCATGTGTGAAATGGAATACAGTAAGAGCTTCTTGCTAAGATTATTGTGACGATTACAAGTGGTAACCGAATGACAGCACTGAGCCCACTGCTACCATCCTGCTCAGTGCAGGATGGCTGCCAGCCCACCATATTGAGCACTTACTTTGTGCCAGACACATTGTACATAGTGCTTCCCCGTGCATTACGTTGGTGAGTCCTCAGGCAGCTCCATGATGGAGGCCATGATTATCTCCATTTCCCATGTGGGGGTGAGGAAGATGGGCTTCAGAGAGGGTAAGCAGCTTGCCCAAGTGGTGAAGCTAAGATATGAAACCAGGTCTGTTTTAGCTCTCAAGCCTGAAGTGTCCATTTGCCCCTATGCTGATCTCCCAAAGGGAATACTACAGGACAAGGCAGGAGGAAACAGGCTAGGAACACCTCCAGGGTGGTCCATTGCAATCTCTGCCCTAGGCACGGGCTGGATCCATTCAACAGAGAAAGAGCTGGAGAGTTAGTGACTGACAGTTGAGAGACGGGAGAGGCTGCTCACCGCTCCACTCGGGTGCTGCCCCTCTGTGAAGATGGGATGGGGACAGACTACCCTGTCTCCCCCCAAATCCCAGGTCCTCATCAACCTGGCCCTGCTGCTGCAGGAAGCAGAACTTCGGGGGAGTCCTTCACTGGCCATGTGTCTGGTCAACGGTTTCCAGTTACTCTATGTGGGCGATGCCCTCTGGCACGAGGTGAGGGTGGACTGGCAGGGGGGCATGGGAGGGGACCTGAGGACTTTGTAGGGACTAAGGCAGTGTGTCTGGGTTCTATCCCTGCAGGAGGCTGTCCTCACCACCATGGATATCACACACGACGGGTTTGGCTTCATGCTGGCCTTTGGGGACCTAGCCTGGGTACCCTTTACCTATAGCCTGCAGGCCCAGTTCCTGCTGTACCACCCACAGCCCCTGGAGTTGCCCATGGCCTCAGTCATCTGCCTCATCAATGGTCAGTCAGGAAGGGGCAGCAGGTTGGGTGCATCCTTCTCCCTCCCCTTTCACTCACTCACTGTTTATTCAGCACCCACTCAGCAGGTGCTAAGCCTCAGGCTCTGAAGCTGGGGACTGGAAACTGGGTCTCCAGGCAGACTGGGTTTGGGCTGTGGGGGATGGTCAGGGTCAGGCAGAAGGCTATGAACCTCAACTCTGACCGCCTGCTCATGTTTTCCCCTAGCTGTTGGTTACTACATTTTCCGTGGAGCCAATTCCCAGAAAAACTCCTTCCGAAAGAATCCTTCTGATCCGAAAGTGGCTGGTGAGCTGGGTTTCTAGGGTGCCATGAGTGAAGTGGAGCACCTGAGCTTCCTGGGGGTCCCCCATCCCAGTACCTGTCTTTCCCCAGGCCTTGAGACCATCTCTACAGCCACTGGACGGCAGCTGCTGGTGTCTGGGTGGTGGGGTATGGTCCGCCATCCCAACTACCTTGGAGACCTCATCATGGCTCTGGCCTGGTCCTTGCCCTGTGGTGAGTGGCTTGGGTGGGTACAGGGCAGGGACGCATGCTGGTGAGGGGCAGAGGTGGAGTGGTGACCACAGGATACCCAGTCTGGGTGTGGAACAGAGAACAGGGGTGCACCTGTGGATGGAATAGGCAGGGAGCTGGGAATGGACTCAGCATGTGGCTGGGGCAGACCTCCATGTCAGCCTAGCACTGCTGGCACCTTGCTGCAGACCCTGGACCTTTCACCATTGAGCTCCCATGCCGCTGTGAGCTATTAGGTCTGGAAACCTTTGTGAACTGGAGGGCTGGCTGAGTGGTGATAGGCCCCCTCCTCACAGGAATGTCCCACCTGCTGCCCTACTTCTACCTCATCTACTTCACTGCTCTGCTGGTGCATCGTGAGGCCCGGGACGAGCAGCAGTGCCTACAGAAATATGGCCTGGCCTGGCAAGAATATTGCCGGCGTGTGCCTTACCGAATCATGCCCTACATCTACTGAAGTGGCTCCACCCACCCCAGGTCAGAGCACGTGACCACCCACTTGCCAGCACACCCAGCACCAGGACACACCTAGGACTCAAGGGTCTGTACCCTACCCTGTCCTGAGCTCCAACAGGCTGGGATGAACAGCCTCAGAGAGGTGGTTTGGAGCATGAGAAAATGAAGCCAGTACCCCCAAAATGGAGTGGAGGGGCTGCTCTTCCTCCTCGGATAAACATCTGGAACCCTCCGTGCTGCCTCTCTCCCTTTCTGGGGCAGGGGTGTTTAAAAATTGGCTGGGTCAGACCTGTACAGGGAGAAGCTGAGAAGTGATTTGTGGGCCCAAAAGTTTGGGGTTCGGTGTGACAGCTGTCACTCAGAAATGGGCTCTGCTGACAGGGTAGATCGGTCACAGCTTTATTGATGACAAGAGGTCCCTAGTTCAGCTAGGGAGCTCCTCAATGAGAGTCCTCCGGGCAGGTGGCAAGGGGCCTCCCCAAAGCTGCTCCAGCTCCCCAGTGAGGGCTGCTACCTCCTCAACTGCCACAGCGTGGGCTCGGTGTGCCCTGGCACAGTCAAGAGCCAGGGCTGTGAGGGCCGCCTCATTTTCATTGGTCCAAGCCAGAAGGAACTGGCATTTCTTGCGGGCCCGGTAGAGGCGATCTCGCTCTTCGGTAGCGTTGGACTGTTTTCGGGCCCGGCCCAGGGTCTGCACCAGGTGTCCCAGGGCTCCCAGCGTGTAGCCCTTCTGGTTGGCCGGGCCCTCGCCCAGCAGGATGCGGGCAGCCTCACGCATGGCACCCCGTGTACCCAGAGGCCCGGGTGGATGCTCGCCCGCTTCCAGCACGTGGGCTGCGGCCTGCAGGGCTTCCTCGGCAGAGGCAAAGACTTGCTGGGCGCCCAGGGCTCCCGAAACGCCGAGCAGAGTGGCACAGAAGTCGGAGAGCAGCGCGTCGTCGCCACCGTGATACAGAGCAAGAGTGTGCGCGTAGGCGAATAGCACGTTGGGCAACTGGAAGCGCACAAGCGGCGAGACACGGCCGCGGCTCAGGTTGGCCAGCGTGGGGATCCGGGTGGGCACAGCGGGCGCGCAGGCCCCTGGGGCGTCTCCGAGGACCGTCTCCTGGGTAGCCTGGGACACTGCGGCAGCGGCATCCTTAATGGGTTCCGGCGTTGTCCTCGCAGGAGCGAGCTCCAGCTCCGATGCGTCACAGCCCGGGGAATCATCCAGCTCCTCCAGAAGCCGCGGCCCGGCCCTGCGATCCCACCACCACGGCCGCCACTGGGGCAGCAGACGCCCTGCTTCTCCACGGCTCAGCAGCCGCTCGAAGGCCACCTTCTCGGCTGGAGCCAGCCGCTCCCAGAGTCCGGAGAGGCCGTCGGGTGCCAGTCCAGGTCTGAGGCCTGCGTCCTCGGGCTCGTCCTCGGTCTCGCGTTGCTCACGCAGCCGGCGGAGGGCGCCGGCCAGGCGGCTGGGCGAGGCGCTGCGGCCGCGGAGTTCTCCCAGCACCTGGTCACGGTAGAAGTCTTCGGCGCAGGTGCCATGCGCCCGGTAGCAGCGCAGAGAGCAGTAGGGCACGTTACAGCGGGGGCAGATGTAGCGTGCTGGCTGGGCCTCCGCGGCGGGGCAGAAACTACAGGGCCCGGCCGGCTCCATGGCAACCGGCGCCGCGAGCCACCCGCGAACGCATAAGGGTGGGCAACTTCCGGAGCTTCTCGTTTACTTCCGCCTCTTTGTGGGGCTAACCGAACGTTTAGTCAAAGCCCCGCGGACTCGCCGCAATTCCCGCACACACTCGGAAACAAAGCCCCACCCCTCTCGAGTAGCGCTGGAGCAGGCGCAGGCGCCGGTCGTGACGTAGAGCCCCGCCCTCCGCGGTGTGAAGGAGTGCGTCAGGCTCTCTTCGCTGGTGCCAGTTCGCCCCCTAGTGGTTACTTTCTTAGCACTATAAAGCGCAGAGGCAGAAATCGATCTGCCAAGCACCTACTCTAGGCCAGTAATTGTGCCATGCCCATGATGAGATGCGTTCCTGCGCTGGAGAGGCAGCCATTCTTCTAGGAGACAGGCAAATAAGGGGGAGAGAGTGAAGAAAGGCCAGGCCAAGGTTGGATACCTAGCCTAGAATGTGTGTCTTGGGGGCATGTTCCTCTACGAAACCAGCATTTAATTTTCCCTGGTTTAATTTAAACCTATCGTTCATCCAACTTTAAAGTGCAGATTCTGCACTAGGCACCAAAAACATTGAGCAAAGAGGTGGGGCCCTATCCTAATGGAGCTTACAGTTTGTGGTAGAGTGGGGCCGATGACCCACAAACTCTGCCAAGCGCGGTGAAGTTGATCCATGGCACCCCTGAAAGTAAGCTCTGGTTCTTTGGTCCCTCACATCCAATCCCATCTCCAGTCCTGCCTTCAAAATACCTTGTATTTGTTTCAATATGGTTCATATTTCCCAACCAATATCTATTTTATAACCTTCAAGTCTATTCCTTTTTTGCATCCTTACCACCATTGGTGGTCTGTTATTGCCCCTCAATTGGATGATACTGGTTTCCTAACTTCCTTGCCAGCTCTCCAGAAAAAAATCAACCAGGGAAAATATTAGCTCACAAGTCAGATCACATCAGGCCCTTGCTAAAAACCCTTCCCTGCCCTTGGTGACTCTCCATAGCACTTGGACTCAAAACTCCTTTCCATGTCTGACAACACACTGCAGGACACGCCACACACAGTTCGTGGTTGGAACTTTCGCCATCTCACCACTTGATTGACTCCTTCTGTTTCAGGTTTCACTCAACACATCCCATCTTCAGAGATGTTCCCTGTGATAGTATGTCTTTCTATCCAACCCCCCCTTATTACAGCACCCAACTTACTTTCTTTGAGGCTGTAACACTAGTTTCCTCACATGAATCTAAATTCCTAGAAGGGAGGGGGCCATGTCTAACTAGAGACAAAACCAGCCAATATATTTGTACTTACTATGTGGCAGGTCCTGATCTAAGCACTTTACAGCCTTTGTTTATTCTTCACAACTCTCAAGAGATGATGGCAGATTCAGTAGTTACAAATGGAGCAAGAACCCAAACTCAAGGCAGTCCAAGTCTAGAGCCCAAGGTCTTTACTCCATAATATGTTGTATTCCAGGAATCACCAGGTTCAAAAACCTTAGCTGAATGA